AGTTCAAGGTCGTGTTTGTGTGGGTTGGTACGATGCACGATGTGTGCATGTGTGGCAACGCGCTTCTCAGGAAAAAAGTTTAAGCTAATTTTCACCACACTCTCAATATCTCTCTGTGTGTGTGTGTGAATTGCGGAAAGTAGAGGAGGAGATAGAGCCCTAAAGTGAGGCACTTGTGGAGTGATCGAGGGTAGAATCGCCTTGTGTTGGCTTATTGCATTCGACTATTTTACACGAATCGGTAGAAGTGTAGCGTGCTTTTATCCCCTTAGGGTGTATGGGCGTTAAAATCAAGTTTTTAAAGGGTAAATGAGATTAAAACAGATGCCTTTATTCCAGACGATAGCCCAACGGCTTTAATGTGGGCATTACATGATTGAGAGGCTTAAATTTCTCGTAGATTTTTGACCTCTTAATGACCGCGCTCTTTTCACTTGCTAGCGATAAAACGGAGATCGAGACAAAAACACCAAAATCGGTTCCTTAACGAAGTAGATCCCGTTATCTCCGGCCACTTCTTTTTCCACATTGAGAAATCTGGACGCTTCCTATGTGAATAGTAGCCCACAAAGATAGGCGTTGTTCTGGATTAAGGGAATATATGGGACGTTCTTTAAATGCTAAAGTGGGTGCTTAGAAGTTACAACCCATTCATATTCAACTCAATCAACAGTACTGTGATGTTTTGAGCTAATTCTACCTAAAGAGAGCGAGCGGACTATTTGGAATACGAGGGATACATACACGCTACGTAATGCAGGAAACCACTTTAATTGTGTAATTTCTCTAAAAATTCAAGTAAATTCTTTTTTCTTTTAATAAAAGAAGAAAATAGGTACAGAAACAATCGACAAGGAGAAAAGAATTGGTGGCCGCACGCAGCACATTGATGAGTTGTTTAATCTCCGGAGAAAAAATGTCCATTTCTCACTATCTTCACATCTGTTGGTACAATATTGTTCTCCCTATTCTTAATTATGCAGAAAATGGCCGTAAACTGTTGTGAACTCACGCACTAACGCTACTGCTGATAGATAATGCCGGAAGAAGATGACACCCATTCCATGATAAAGCATTATTAGGAAATTTGGGAGGATAGAAACTGCATTGAGAATGGGGATGGGATGAAGATGTAAATGAGGTGTTAAACCACTTAGTGAGAGTAGCTCATCATGTAGACAAGGAGCGTATTTTTAATTGATGCATTACCACAGTCCAATGATTTCAGTGGCCTGAGTGGTACACTGCACACCACGGTATACCACCACACATCTCACTTGTTGCAAGTGTTGTATCCCTAATTTTACGAGGAGCTTTTGCATATATAAAGTCGGCTGGGGATGCAGTAGAAAGTTGGCTTTCACATATGTGATACTGAATCAACACGTGGTGGCATAATGATGGAGATGGACTGGAGGCTCTTTCACCCAACATTTCCATATATGACTTGCACTGTGCACAACAATTTACGGGATGATGAGTAATGTGAAAATAATTGTATGGTTACATTATCATGCGGCCTTGAATTATTCTGTCAAACAATGAAGTGGAAAGCGTGGGTTTGTGGGACGCATAAAGTCACGAATAGTTACGACATGGAATGGGTGCTAAATGAGAAAATGACGACTGGGGAACACTCTTTCCGGTGACACCTTCTCTTGCTTGAAGTTCTCGTGTTTGTTGGGGAAAAGGAGTGTAAAGTTGGTTCCATGCCAGGCAGAGAGGACAGCTGAGGTGGAAATGACAGTGAGTGGGTGAGTGGGCTGTCGCAAGTAGGCGAAACATTTCTGTAGTTCATCATCTCCAACAGTCACTTGTAATCAAACGAGGGTATCCAACCCCCGTCCAAGAGAGTATACAGGCAACATTGGGCAATAAAGCAATCCTCTTAATTCATACTCACAGAAGTTCATTTGGAGTTTTCTTAGGCGGCAGAAGATTAGCAGTTACTGACTGTCATTGGTACGTCAAATGTCAGGAGATTAACGTAGCTGTCTATGAAGAATGAGTAGAGGTAGCAGAGATGTCACTATTTCTCTATTCCTGCAGTTTGCGATTTCCAAATATCCACCAAGGTATAGACTTGTTTGGCGATTTGTGACTAATAAAATTTGTCAGGGGCAATTCGGGTGTCACATCTGACTTGACACGATCTCAATGTGCCTAAATGCCTCCGTAACGGGATAGGGTGTAGGACAGTCGAGGATATAGAGAAGCAGGTTAGGCATGGTGAACTCACTTGGAGGGGTGCGCACGCTCACGCTCTCACCATACATCTTTCTTCCTCTACTCCGTATTGTTGTTTGCCTTCTTGACATCAGCATGAACGAGCGACAACTTTGGAACCACTCACTGCTGAAGGACATCCTGGTGGTTGGTGAGCACTGGAAGTGGTGATTTGAGCGAACCACCTAAACATGAGTCGGGTTTCCTGTGGTGGCGAGAAACACAAGAGAACGAGTGTAATTGATATAAAGAACCAAAGGACAGGGCATCTCCTCGCATGAGACGGTGCGTGCCGTGTGCTAAGCCACATGCATCATCAACACCAGGAATGTTGTGTTACTTCTTCACAAGGAAGCCTTCTTCTAATAAAATAAGTTGGTTAGCATTTAAATTAGTTTACCGCACAAGTCTTTATCGAAGGCTTTTAGTGCTGGGGAAGAGGCCAATTCGATAATGTGAATGTGAGGAATGAAAGAGGCGATTTGGTACATTAATGTACAGTGGACAGAATATCCACCTCATCCTCTTTCCTCACCAAGAGCAGCTCATGCAGTCAACTTGGACCACACTTGGAGGCAGTGTCAACTACCGCCTTTTTTCATTTGACGTTGTGAGAGAATCTTGTAGCATCTTTAATGCTGCCATTCTAACTTACGACAAGTGAAGCCGACTAAGCTGCTAGTGGTGAAGAGATGAGCAGCAAGATGTACAGACGGCATCAGTAGCACTGCATTGAGATGCCCATTAGTCCTCACTTCGGTGAGACCTCCGATGATCCAGTGTGCCTATATCTTGACAGTCTAGAGATTCCACAAGACACATCAGCTCAGTGTCTGCCATTAAACGAGTACAAACCAGCCAGTGTAAGGAGTACAGCCCGCAGACAAGAAAGATGGCATATTCGTGAGCCTTTCAAGAGAATGCAAGTGAACAATATGAATATTGGTGAAGGTCGAGACTTGGGTCCGTGTGCGGAAGAATGCTCACTTGCTGATGTGGGGTTGCCGTGTTTCAAATCATACTGCCCTTTATAAAACGTGGAAATAGGTAAGAACGCTGCCGACTTGCTAGCGAACAACTTCTACCACTCGATGAGAGTTACAACATCACGCTAACGTATTGAAATATAGTATGGCTATTCGAACGCTAGTTCATATTTTATTAAAGCGATTCTTCTTGCTAATTTAGGGCGTCTCAATTAGAGCTGTTCACCTAAATCACCCTGAACCTGTTGAAAGCGGGCGTATTGCCCATTGGTAAGCACTGTTTCCCTAATCTTGTCATGCATGCGGGATACCTCATAGAAATTGAGGTGCAACACACCATAGGTGTGGTCCAAAACACTTTCTTGGAAGAAACCTGTGAAGTACTTGCAAACGCCCTTCTTTCTGCTCATGGCTTCAGCATTCCTGTCCTTCCTTTCCAATCGACGTGGTTCCAACCGCATCATGCTGTTTCAGTACATTGAAGCAAGAAGCACTGCGAGTATCCACAGAGGCAGAAGACGGTAGGATATGATTTAGGAATAGCATGCTTGACATTTGCAGTGAGTGTTGTTCTATGTCTTAACAGGGGTTACAAGCGCATTTTTCTCATTCATATGTCAGGAGGGAGGTCACAACTTGAAGACTGTGGGGGAAAATAAAGATGGATCATGGGCAGATTTAACTATGAGATACAGCACTGCGAGAGGAGCACCTGTCTTTGAGAAGCATTGCCATATAGCGATGTGGAACGAGGCTACGCAATGGAAACATAGCAGATATTATGCACCTCCTCTTGCAGGAGTAACCTTGACCTTGACCACTAAAAGTGACCATCAAAATGGCGCGTTGAGACATGCAATTTACAGCAATTCATTTTGCCTTTATCCTGTTGTTGTAGACCGGTTGAGCCGTGTGTTGGGGATGGCAGCTTGGTCGGCAGCAAGTGAGTGTAACTAGGAGAAGTTTGAGAAAAATTCCCAAATCCGCACTTCTAGCCGATTGTGCAAGAGGACAAGACAGAAGATACTAGTACCTTTTTTTTTTGCATTGTGGTTCTTTACAGCCACGGTCATTTGCAACCGAATCAACTGCGCGCCGATCGTGTTTGAAGCATCAGCAGAAGTTGTGACACGCTAGGCAGAAGCAGAAGTTCACAGAGTTGCTCCCTTGGCACATGTTGATCTACGAGGAAGTCAGTGACAAGTAGTGTGGCGTGGCCTATTAGAGACACAGTGCGCACTGCAGGTGCTAATAACAGTATGGTACATTATTTTCGCTAGGTGTGTATGAGGTGGTCTGATTAACACAAATCTTCTAATTATAGAAACAGTTATCTCCTGACCACAAGATACATGAATCACACTTACTTTGCTGTGCAAAAAATTGTCTTGTATTATGTAAAAATAGCAGGAAACATAGGGATTCATTTAGCGTACTATGCATCGTTTTTTACCTAAATTTAATCTTCTCAGGTGATTTTACTCCTCCACTTTACGTAATATTAATTCGTCCACTAGCATACCACTTTACTCTGCTGGCTTCATCATAACACAGCGGTTTCCATAAAGCCAAAATGAATTATTTTAATCGCCTTTTAAGGACCTAAGGATAAAGCGCCTACAAGTGTCACCAGGAGGGTTTTAAGTAGGCAATCAGAGACAACGTTGCATCTGCTTCTGTGCCTTGATGCAAATCCGGATCGCGGATATATTTACTTGGGGTACTAAGTCGTCTTCCTTGTTTTTACACCCAAAGCCATTGAATAATAATATTTGGATTAGCAGAGACTCTTGCCTTTGAGGGGGCTTAGATTTGATGGACTTTAAACTGAATGTTCTGGCGGGGATACCTTAAACCACCAGTTTCGATTCTTTGCTATTATGTTATCTACTACTTCAAGCAGACGCAGTTGAATGGCACCAAAAAGTAGTTCACTAAATCTCCATCTTAATTTGGCTCCTACTTGATGACAAGACTGCGAAAATGAGTTCGGCATTATATTCAGCAGAAAACTGCTTTCACGCAACATAATGCGTACCGTAAAGTAGGCAAAGAATTTGTACTCACATCATTTTAAAAAATTTTAATTATCCTCTCCTTCATATTTCAGTTTTAACGAGGATGTTTCTCCTCAATTTTTATATTAGAGGAAGAGTTCGTTCCTAGATGTAGTATGAAAAAGTAACAAGAACAACCATCCAAATTTTGCATATCCTTCGCTTGTCAGTGCTCCGCAAATCATGGGAGGATACACTACTTAAATGGATGGATGGATCGTATGTTTCGTGACACTATTAGAATATATTTGAATACTTAATCAGTAAATTCAAAAGCGCTCGCCTCACATTATTGGTGGCATGGGTAAGCCGCTTTCAGGGATCATCGAAGATGTTCGTGGGGATAGGTGCGGCAGCCAATTGGGAGTTGATAATATTATTAGCCTTTTCTTTAGCTGGAGAAAGAGCCGTCGTAGCCATCGTGTTTTGGCTAGTGAGAAAGGTGCTTTCCGCAAAATTCAGGGCCGCTGTATTACTACATATAAAACCGACCCCAAAATTCGCGTCCAATTCTGGACATATGGAAATTTCTCTATCCAGGCGACACTACCTGCGATGGAAGGAAATGATTTCATTCCATTCCTTCTGCTAATCTTAATCTACTAGATGGTGATATTGTCAAAATCTTTTTACAAAGCACCAAAAATTAGGTACGATGTTCTACTAATCGAATCGGAACAGAGTCAGGGGGAAAGTTGGAAGGACACCCATCTAATTTGCCTGGAGCTGGCAAAAATGAATGGTAACCACTTATTAGCGAATGCGATAAGGCGAGATGTTTGCCTTATTTTAAGGCACAAAGCAACAGGCCTCGATATTCGAGTATTGGTTTAGCTGTCTGATGCAAGTGTTACATCAGGGAACCGTGGCCAATTCCCAAAGCTGTTTTTGTGCTAACTTTATTAGCTCACGAAAGTGGGTAAATTTCAGTGCCTATAAAGTTTTCCAACCACAATGTGTAAATAAACTCCTCATCTGAACTCAAATACTATCTACTCTGCAGCCTCTGCTAGTGGCGAGCTACGGAAAGTTTTCTCTGCTAATAGTTGTAGGCCATCTGCGTAGTCCACGGCTTTGTGAGACGAGGAAACTCTTTGTAAGTCATTTATTCTTTCGACTCTATTAGGAGATGAGCTGAGGTAGCAAAACATTCTTCCAACTCTACGTCGGGAATTATACTGACACCTGCGGTGGTTATAAAAGGTTCCAAGACAAGGCTCGAAGAATCTAAAGCCTCCTCCAGAGTTAAGAATAAAACCAGGAGTTAAATTTGACATTTTACGCCAGTTTTCAGAGTCAGTGTCGTTCTTTGAGGAGAAAAAACCTGCTTTTGCTGCCACCACTGTTATAGATTGGATGTTTTACTCCCCTTAATCACCCTCTCCACAGTTGGAATGACCAGAATGATTGGAAGTGGAAATGGGTACAGAAATCGAGGTTATATCTGTTCGTAGCTCACTTTTACTTCCGGAGCAATTGGCAGTTTATTTTAGCTGCGGCAAAATCATGAAGACAGGGTGTATGATGACTGGATGAGAAGGAGGGGACTTGTGTAGTGAAGAGAGAAAAGAGATTGCGGCTGACTGTCAGGTGCAAAATAAGCATTTATGCGATGGTTTAAGCGTCAGGAGGTGTCTTTGTCGAAAAACAAAAAGGGACGGTAAAGGGTGATTTAATTGACATGGTAGAGGACATCTGCTGGTGCGACAGAGGAAAGAAAGTACACATTCCTGGAATTTACATGCCCAATCACATGAAGAACAAAATGAAAATTTGGAGGTTGACACTGTCCTGACAAAGTGGGTTCAGGGAAGTCCTGATTTGTAGGTTGTAAAGGTCATCGACAGGCATGTATAAAAGGAGCGAGTAAAGTAAGTCTTTAGTTCCCGGCAAGAATGGCTTAAGCCATCTCATTCCAATTTTTACTGCAACATGCCATCAGCCTACATATCCTGAACAGGCGCAAATTCTTGAGGCTCATCGGGAAGTGCGGGAAAATGTGGTCCCTCCTGCCAGTAATATGCAATTAATGGTAATGTTCACATGTGACAATTTTACTTCATTAAATCACCTATTTGACTACCACTTGTACTAGACATCAAATGCAGGGAACTGATACCGCTTGGAATATCAAATATGCCAATTCATGTGTCATTTGTGATTTAATTGCTGGTAATCAAGGGAACCAGAATACCCGGCAGTTAATTGGGTCACGCATTGCATTCTCAAACACGCAAATACCAAACGCTCTTCACAATACCGTGGAATCTGACAAAATATGGAGCACTTATCGGCGGTTTCAAACCATTTTTGACTGGAAGCAACCGCGTTGGACAAGTGGTTCCCCCGTTTACAATTGTTGAATAACACATGCAGCCATGTTTGCAGTCACTAAACACAGATGAGCAAATTGATGCCTTTGAGCACTTCAGCACTAGTCAATGCCATTCCGGAAGTCTTTCCTTAGGTAATATTACCTTCTTAAATACTCAAGCATCTTAACGAATCTGTAGAAAGTTAGTGACAGTGCATTCACGTGGATTAGACTGAAGTATGCGGTAATGTGGTGGACTCAGGACGGCTTGGAAAAATCCACAATATCTAACTATGTGCCAGTGCAAGTCTGGATACGTCAGATTTGTTCACATTTGCTCTGAAACACAACTTTGCTGCATTTCATGACATTTTACATTCCCCTAGAAAGAATTGAATTAAAATAAGGCCATATGCATATGGAATTAGTTGCAGAAGATACTTTGAGGCCCATTCGTGTCATCGCAGGCAGTGCGTAAGAAAGCATAGTCTCAGGAAAATATATTCGGCAATAAAATGCAAAATTGGCATCTGCAAATCTCTTTCAGAATGTTATTTATTGTTACATCTACTTTTCTTAAGTCGAGCCTCAAATTAACTTTAGGTGATATATACAGCATCAAAAGCACTTCATCTCCCTTTCCAAGTGTGTCTTGTAGTAAACTCTTAGTTAGACCAGTGTATGAAGATCATCATTAGGACCATTAGTTAATAAGGCATTAACAAGACAGCTGATTGTGCATTAACTTAAAATAAAAGGCGGTTGAAATACCATACA